TCTTCATCTGTCCTAGAGGTTTATTTGACGGAGATGTGGTAGAGATTTGAGAAACTGTGAGAGGTGAGGGTGGATAGCTGGCGATAGGAGAATAAAGTTTACACTGGTAGGTATAGGTGGGGAGCATGAATAAGGCCAGATAGAAGCCAAAGAACAAGATAATAAAAATAAGGAAGGAGAAAGAATTGAGGGTGAATGGTGGATTCTGGAATTGTATTTTCTCTCCCCTTGTATGGGGGCCCTTTTCAAAAGTCAGGGGGTCTTGCTGTCTTCTTTGTTTTGATGCTAGCTTCTTGGTGGACTGGAGTATCTTGACCGTAAAGTGAAAGTGATGTGAAACTTGAAGATTCTAGCTTAATAGGCCATGAGTAGTGCCTTTTGTGGGCAAAATCCCTATGTACAATTTCTTCTTACAGTTGTAGGCTCCCCTAGGGAATATTGTTTTAGACTAAGTATTTTCCATTTTTTAAGTGTCACTGAACCTAGATTGCTATAATCAAATTTCACACAACACAGAGTTTATTTACTCTAGGTACTAGTTTTGATGGCACAGGTCATACTGATAGGATTCTTTGCTACTCAAAAGGAGTAATGTTTAGTAGACGGAAGGAAGAGGTTAGTATGTTTCTGTGTTTTGCTTTTTAAAAAGAATCCCTGTAAAGTGAGAAAAACTTTCCTTGATGTAGAGTAGCTTGTTTCATTTGTAGAGTTCTTTTTGGGTGTAACTAGGTAGTTTGGTTATTATTCTGTTTGTTTTGTACTCTATAATTTTAGGTAATTGTCAATTGATATGTTTCATATTGTAGGGCATCCATATTGAAAGATTGGAAATACAAATGCTTTGTGTACCGTTAGCATAATTTTGATTTGCAGTCTGTTTAGAGCTTTAAGAATATCGAGTCTTGATATGGCTTTGTTCTTGATATTTGTGATATGCTGTTTCCAGGTTAGTCTGGTATCATATGTAAGATCTAAAACTTTAGCTATGTTGGTGGATTGTATTTCTGCATTATATATTTTGATGTAAGTCAGGTTTATTTCCTCATTCTTTTGCAAAACTTTCTGTAAAGATGATGTCGACAAACTTTTTTTTTTTTCCAGGCTTGTGATTACTCTCTATTTGGAGTACCATAACTATATAAGATATTGCTGTAATGAGTTTTGCTCCTTATATGGGGCTTTAGGAGGACCATACTGTTTATGTCATCAGCAAACTGGGAGACTTTTATATGTGTTTCATCTTTGGTAGGTAAATTTCACTCATTTAGGTAGAGTATGTAGTGGGCTTATGACTGAGCCTTGAGGTACTCCAGTAAATTGGGAAAAGATTCTGATGTGTTGCCTTTTATTGTTACCGTTTTATCATTTAGGAAATCTGATAAATATATATATATATTTTAAGTATATTTTTTTTTATTGAGGAATTAGCCATGATATGGTATCTAATTCTGTCATACCAGTACCAGACTCAATACGAAGCAGTTACAAGTTACAGTGCAATGGTTTACATTCATATTTTTGACGGTTGTTTCGTAGAAAGAAACCCAACTTAAACTTTTAAATAAATGCTGAACTGGGCCTGACCTAATAACAGTTATAACTAATAGTAATAATAATATCAATAACTGTGTTACGTTAGACGAGTCCTACCTAAGAAATTAAGAAGCACTTATATTTAAAACAAAAAGAAAGAAATTAGCTCAAATAAATAGTTTGGTGAGCGGTAATACTATTACTAGTTGTAAAGTTACATTGTACTATCTTAATTACTAATAATGCAGTATAACGTTAAGAGCAACTTTTTCATTTTATATAAAAATTAAAATATTCACTAACTTGAATTTGAAACTAATAGTTAAAGCCTGCGAGTGCTACATATCTTTTCACCATTTTCTTATGCAATCCGATGTTTTTTTTCGCAAACTTCATACTGTTACTATTAGTTTACTATTATTATTATTATTACCAACTACACTGTGCAAATATTAAGTAAATTTAACCGTTACAGGTTACGTATCTTCCAAATACAGGAGTGTAAATACGTTTAGGCCTAATGTCTAATATATATATTAATTTGTGTATGTCCCCGCAACTCAAAATCAACTGTAGATGTCCTTTTCATTTCATTTACCGACTTTTTCATTTTCATTTTATTTTACAGTACTTCTAGACTTGAGCTTGAATTTCGAGTTAGGGAATTAAATAAAATATATTTTGAACAAGTTTACTTACCATTAATTTTTTTTTCAAGATCTGACTTATGATACTGGAGATTTATACGATTAATATAGTTCTTACTACAAATACAATGTACATATAAAATGACATAGACAGTAATCCTAAGCAAAGAATTCCCAAAGTCATACTCCTGGTGCTTATACTGATAACATGTCCAGGCAAGATTTTTCTGTATTAGCGGGGTCTGTTTCACAAAACCTCCTGGGCAGTGAATAAGCAAGGTTTCACAGCCCATTGCCCCCATTATCAGGAGCTATCAGAATGTTTAGTTTTACGGAATTCAACCTTTATGACATTAACATATTGTTCAACTGAAAATAAAAATGTCACATTAATAAGTTCAACATTTTTACTACATATGCAATTTATTGAAAATGATAAAAACGTTTGTTTTGAACTAAAACTTAGAAATCAAGTTTTAATTGTGTGAGAAGAAGGACGATTTTAAAGGAGATATTATAACGTAAAAGCTTTTGAAAAAATGTATAGCTAGATGGGGAATCAGCTAGTAGAACCAACTGGATTCCTTTGAATTTTTCTAATCAAAACTTAGTGTTTGAATACAAGTTGCAAGGAAGAAATTAACATAACATAATGTTTAGGAACAACAAGGGACTTATTGGTCCATCTCTGCTGTTTCATCCTCTAAAACTATTAAATAAATAAATTTGAAAAAATAAAAATCTTTAAACCAGCCCTTATCATTAATATAATTATTAAGCTTTCTCTGAAATTTACTTCTTCCACACTCTTGATACTATTAAGAGTCTGGTTAACCAACACCGTTTTTAGTTTTGCAGAAGAGATGATGACTACTGTAAAATAATAATTTAGCTACATTGTTACAGTTGAATTGCGACCTTATTACTATTAAACTTGAATTAAATGACAAATATAAGGCTGATGAACTTGAAAATATTGTTTATTTGAGGTAATATGGCCTTATGGGAAAACGTTTGAGATATTACATCCTAATTTTATGCGTTGCTTTGGGGTTATTGACTTTTATATAAGAAAGTATCAAAAGCTGAAGACATATAGAAGGTTAAAACGTTCTTAAATTGTCCAATAACTTTAGTGGGCTTGGACTTGTAACTTTAAGCTATTACTTTTGTTTACATTATGACATGGAAAAGAAACTAAATATAAGTCATTTGATGCAGGTGATTCATATAGTGGCTTTGATACGTTATATACTTTTATGGAAATCTTTTTGACTTAATCCTGTCTCTTTGATAGGCAGAGGCTCACATATGTTTGACTGAATTTTGTTGCACCTATCTTAGACTTGCTTATTGGTCCCTATAACTTCTCCTATATGCTAAGTAAGCTGATCATTTTCTTTCTCTTATATCACAAAAATAACCTGAAAATAAAAGTTTTGTATTTTTATTCTCAATTCTGTATATTCTCACACAACCTACTTTTCACTGTGCTGTTCCTCACCTCTCTTTATAAGGCATTCATAACTTCTCCAACAAGCAGACTGCTAACAAATTCTGTCTTTTGAAATCTATATGATTTATATTATACCTTTAAAAATCTAAACAATCTGGAATAGCTGGTAACATATTTCGTATTTTGGAACACTTTCATTAACCACCCCCCAAAAAAACGTACATCACATATAATAGTTAAACGAACCGCCTAAATGTCACGTTAGTTTAGCCTATATAATGTATAAAGTTTAATATACTCTAATAGCTTATAGTGATGGCACACAACGAGACACATTTGGCATGTTATGCTGTTTCAATACAAGAAGGAAAACAATGCCTCTAAAGCCACAAAGAATATTAAAGAAGTTTATGGAAATGTTTTGAATGTTTGCAAGTGTCAACGATTGTTCAGAAAATATTGTTCAGGTGACTTTAGCCTAAAAACTGTGATGGCAGGGGCCGGCATGTTGGAATTGATATTGATGCTTTGAGTCTAACCCAAGGCAATACACTCGTGAAATGGCCCTGAAATTGCATGTCTCTCGTGAAACAATACGTGAACCATTTTTGGACAGAATTGTCACCAATGATGAAAAATGGATTCTCTATTCATATATTAAATGTCAAAATGGAAAACTAAACATACCTTTAGTTTATAGATTGATTAAGCTATAAACTAAAGTCATGGAGAATGTTATCAAACCTTTCCCAGATCAGATTTGTTAGCCTGAGTAGTAACTATATTACACTAAGTGCATCATTTTATATGCTCTTCAGCCATTTAAAAGTGCAGCTCAAGGTTCCTACTGTCTAACCTTTCTGGTAGGACAGAGCACTCTTTCTTACAGCCAAAATCCAGTAGTCAGTCTTGTTTGATACACATTTACATAAACAAAGAGATTTAAACTTAGTTATTGAATATACTATTCTGTTAACATGCATAAATTACTTATAAACACATTCAGTGGAAGAAAGAGTTGGGTTTGGTAATTTGATCCACAATCCAACTATAACAGTTAAAGCTTTAAAAAAATTACCTAAGTATACTAACCATTAGCCATCAGATTTTCCTAGGTCAAATATATTATAAAACCTGAAATCTATCCATCCCTGTTCATTCATATGCTCTGTACTTAAGTAAAAAAAAAATATTACAGAAACATTCATTTCACTATTATTAAATGAAGTGATAAAATTATTACTTATTTGCTATATATAAGAAAATATATAAAAATGCAACGAGCTTTAACTGGTACAGCATAGGAAAATAACACATTTTTCAAAGTGTTCCTATGGTCTATGTGTAAACAAGTTTTTACATGCCTCTTCTGGAGCATCTTATCAACTGCTTCCTTGAGGAACACTGCTATGATGCTGGTCTGATTATCAGTAATGCGTTTGATATAACCGCCAGAAGTGTCTTCAATTTTTCTTTCTTCACACTAGAAAGATATGTACTGCTTTTCAAAAGATCATTCCCATATTATTTACATATTACACTTATAACTCCAAAGAAATCCCATGACCAAAAGTTGCACATGCCTTAGATCAATGCTTCACAACCAACGATTCACATTTTGCTCGTCTACAGAAATGTCCATCAATGAAAACAGAAAATCCAAAGTTGATAATAATGGCAATGGAAGTTTTGCTTCCTTTCTATTTTGTAGTTGTATTTCTTTGAGGCTGGGTTCTCAGCTGTGACAATGAATGGGATTAAACATACTAATAGCCTAGAAATTAGATCATCAATGACACTATTATATATATAACTATCTATCTGTTTTAATAAACATATATCAAACAAAGAAAACATTTCACTTTCATCTACTCTGTCCAAATATTCTAGATTTAATGACGATTCTTTTTGTTGACTGTGACTTAATTTGAATATTACTTTTTTAGATGAAGTAGGAAGTAGATACACGACTATTGCTAAAAGATATATTTATTTTATTTACATTTTGCAACTTCCTATTAAAAGTACATAGTAATCATCAGTTGACATTTGATTTTCTTTTTAGACATGATATTTGGGTTAGGTTAAAGCAGTTTTGAAAGGTTTGGCACTACTTCATTTGATGTTCTCTAGTACTACAAGAACTATTTTTAACATTGAACTTTGTTTCAACTACTTTCTCATTGTCTAAATTGTAGACATTAATATCCACTCAGTTAACAAAATTGAGCACAGGCACAAAATATTCGAGAATATTTAAGTTAGTATCAGTATAAAAAAAGAATCAAGTGCCTGTACTTTGATAAAAGACCAAGACTAAATGAAATTGTTTTTTTTCTGTATTTTATTTCTCTTATTAAACTGTCCAGAACTTTAAAAAGTTTTTGTCATTTCATATATATATTGGGCAAACCAGTACTCTCAACATTATATGTTCCTTTGGACAGTTTTTGTTTTCACCCTTTGCTTATGAACGAATTACACCAAAGTATAATAGCCATAATTTAATTGGACAATGATAAAGCAGTTACTTTCCACCCAACATGTTCATGCACTTCATAAAATTTCATTATGAAGTAAAAACAGTTTCACATTTTGTAAAACATTTTATCCTATATAATATATATAAACTTTATTAAAACATTACTATATTTAATCTCAGCTCATTTATTTATTTATTACATTAAATTTTTTTAACTTGACTTGAAACTTTTATGTCATTTTATAGTTTTCTTGTAATATATCTTGTAGTTTTATGTTCTTTCCTCTGATATAGTCTGCACTAACCCTTTGATATAATATTTTCTGTAGTTTTCTTCACTCTGCAGATATTTCTGTTTAAGAACCTGCAGCTTCACTTAAAAACTATTTTAAACCTTTTTATTGTATTTTCTAAACTAAAAAACAAATCATAAACATCTGTTTTGGAAATAAACAACACTTAGAAAACTACAATTCCATGTCTGATCTTTTAGTAGTACTTTCTACTTCCAACCCTTTCATTTACACCCCGCTTAAAAATCACAACACAAATTTGTTTTTCCACATCAACTCAATCTTTTAATGTTTTTCTTTGAAGTGTTTCATAAAATGTTTCATTTAACAACAAACCTAGTTTTGTGGTAGCATACTAGTGATGAGTTTTATTTCATAAACATGGCACTTTGTTTTTGTTTAACTGTAATTAAAATATTGTTTTTATCATGTCAGAAGATCAGTTATGAAGATTTTACCTTTAGCACTTCACAGTGTCTCGGGCCAGTCATTTGAACATTTAGAAGTCCAGAATCAACAGCTTCACACACATCTTTTCTGATCCAAATTGTCATATCTGAGAAATAGCTAGTAAATCTTTGTGGTTTTCCATTTTGTAGGGGATAAGGGACCTTTGGAACACCAATGTTCTTTTCTTTATTCATCTTTTACAAGACAAAAAGTATCAATCACTAACTATAATCTTATAATATATGGAGCAAGCATTTAAAAAAATAAAACCAAATGGACAGAATTATGTCTTTTACTGCATCATGAACTTGTTTAGGTTTTTCACTGAACTATCAACTTTGATATTCAACCCTATCATTCTGATGTTATTTTTTTCTTTAATTATTATTATGATACAAAGAACATTACTTCTGAAAACATCTGGTCATATGAAATGTTAATTACTTTATGGATAGTGTATAATCTTCAAAGTTGAGTTCTTTTTGTTGATCTATCCTATGAACTACTGCAAGATTCCAATGGAATTGAACTATCAATAGCATGTTGCACTTGGCCAGAGTTTATTCAGCAACATATATTAAGGAATGAGTTAATATAAATATTTGTTATTGCATTCAAAATATACATGTCTAATGGCATATTCTAATGTACATGTGCTAACCTCAATTTTATTTTTACTGGGTATTTAAATTTCTGATACAATATTTCTGACTGAAAAAATTTCTTCATTTACTACAATTATGATAGGGAGTAGTAATAATCTTAAGAAGTCTAGATAAAATTACTTCTAAGACAAGCTATCTTCAATTCCAGATTGTGCATAATGTGTTTTTTATGTTAAAATATTTAAGTCTAATTAGATTAAGTCAAAAAGATTTCCATAAAAGTATATAACGTATCAAAGCCA